CCCCAAAACCCCAAAACCCCAAAACCCCAAAACCCCAAAACCCCAAACGGGGAGTTTTAGGTTGAAACTTTTAAATGCCACTTTGGGTTTTTGTGGGTGGTAAGGTTGATGATTGGGGTTTTCCCTTCTTTTTGTTGAAGTATTTGAGAGATGTATCACTCTTGAACTTATATTTCCACTCATCTGAGGGTAAAATGGTGTGGAAGATATCCATCTTCATTTCATCTAAAAAGAAAAGCTCTATTCTTTGAAGATATCTAGCCACTGATAAGACGAAACTGAGTACAGTTTGAATGCTGGGAAATTCTTTGTGCCAATCTTTTTGATTTTGATTTATACATTTCTCCATCTTGATTGATCTTAATCAAGTGTTTTTCGAGCTCAAAAGCTTGAGATCGTTACATAGGATGAAGCATTGATTGAAATTTACACGAGATGCATTTGAGATAATAATAATTTTTTGAAAAGTTTTCCCATCCATTCGCAAGCGTGAAAGGTCAACATATTGATGGCATTTCGAAATTGAGCAAAATAAAAATCTTAAATCCTGAGTATATATGCTATTAATATCAAGTACAGAGGGATGGAAAGCAGTGGAATCATATTTGAACCCATCAAATTTGAAGATTCCTATTCTTGTGATCCAACCATTTCTTAAAATAGATTTTCTAAGAAATTTCATCACATTTTTATTCTTTTTGATAATTCTTAACCTTTCCACTTGCGTTAGGGCCGGCACATACTTCACTTCTAAATCTCCAAACAGCTGTTCTACAATCTCATCTTCATATTCTTCCAGGCCCAGTACAACTCACTTGAAATCCTGGCCATCTCTTTTTCTCTTACTCACTCTTAGTCCATGCTCAAGCTTAACCTCTTCATCCTTCACCTCTCTCTCTTCCTTCTCCCTCCCCAACATCTCCCTATACCTCCATTACCCCTAAACCCCCCTAACCCCCCTAAACCCCTAAACCCCCTTAAAACCCCAATTACCCACCCCTCCCCTAGCCCTCCTACCGAACCCAGCCTCCCAGCATACTTATTCGTCAGCTTATTAATTTTATAAGACAGGCAAGGATTTTGGGGTTTTGGGGTTTTGGGGTTTTGGGG